ATAGATGCGAATGACTCTAGTACTTCCAAAAATGAACTAGCTCCATCTGTTGCAAAAATGCATCATGACTTTTCTGACAACCCAATAGTATGGTAGACAGACCATTGAAGGTGGAAGTGGTGGACAGTAGAGGGCAGAGTAGAGCTGTTAATATTCGTACATACATCAGGAAGTTGAAGCAATAGGCATGCTATTTAGAATTACAAAGGTTACCAAAAGGACCAGCTGAGTGACGTGTTGGTTAAGAGCCGAATTGGGACGCCAGCCACAACTAGACTGAAGAACAAAGGGACAGCAACTTGTCTGTTCCCCTCCCCCAATTCCCCAAAGCTGTTCCCTTCCCCCAATTCCCCAATAAAATCTTCAAAAAAAAAAAAACTAAAACAAAGGTTACCAAGAAATAGTAACAAATAAGAATCACTTGCAAAAATTGGGAGAAGCAAGGATATAGAATGTGTCAAATTCACACAGTGATGGGGGGGTGGCAGTGGAAAATCAAGTCATAATATTTTTTAAAATTCAATTTAATAAATTCAGAAATAGATGTATAAGCTTGTAACTTGGTATCATAGGGTTAATGTGGAAGAAATAAATGTAGAAAAGATCAAAGGTAGTTAACTTTTGAGGAGTAGGATTAAAGCTGAAGGTGGGAAGATGCGCTTCCTTTTTCAATATACCCCCTTCTATGTAATCTAAATAACCTCCAACCCCTCACGTGCATGTTATTCTAACTAACAGGAAGACAAGGTAATTAGCTCAGCCTGGGTAGTTGGATAGTTGGAAGGGATGAAGTATAAAATGTTTTCAGGAACTCATCCCTTAATGAACCAGAAGCAGCTTATCTCCCTCCATTACTTCGTGTATCTATACATGAATATTATTACTGGAGTGAGTCAGGTTTCAGCATCAACTCTATATTTATGTTACACTTATAAACAATACAATACTTATAATCCTCATTCACGTGAATAAATTATTAGGTTAAGAAGTCCGTTAGAGCAGTGTCGCTCAAGCCCTGAGCTCCTTCCAAAGCCCCAAACCTCATAGTGAACTGTCAGCTCCACCTTCTGGGGAGAAGGGAAGGGGCCAAGGTGCGGCCCCCACTCAGGACCTCCTGTCCGGGGCAGCATTTCTCATCCTCTACTGCTCTCTACAATCTTCTGGACACTTTCAAAAGATGCCCCCCTGGCCACCTCAGCCCTGATAATTAACTCCGCATTCCGCGTGCGAGGCCCAGCTCGCGCACAGGCCTTTATCGCGCCCAATCCCCAATCACAGAGGTCCTGGCTGCCGTGTCCCCAGGGCTCTGCCGAAGGAGTCGAGAGACGGGGCTGGCAGGGGGCTCCCCAGCAAAAGATCCCTGACCCCTCTCTTTCCCCACAGTGTACCACTGGGTAGAGATGCGGACCAAGATGCGCCTCATGGGCTTCAAGGCTGAAGCTGTCAAGCCGCTGAACGAGGAGGTGGCCACCCAGCTGGGCGCCGAGTTGCTGGGCGAGGTCACCATCTTTGCGGCGGCCGGCGGCTGTCTGATGCTGGAGTACTGGCGCCAAAAGATGCAGCAGCGTAGCAAGGAGAGGGAGAAGCGCGTCGCCTGGGACTCGATGCGGGATGAGGTGGAACACCTGGAGCTGGCGCTGGAGGCGCTGCAGACACAAATGCAGGCGGTGGCGCCGCTGAGCGCCCTGATAGAGCTGCGGGCAGAGATACGGGAAGTGCGCGCCCAGCTCTGCAACCCGGACGGGGACGCCTCGGACGGGGACGCGCCGTCTGCGCCCCAGGTGGAGCCGAGGCCCGAGGAATAGGAGGCTGCAGGGCCCTAGTCTCGGACGTGACCGTTGTCCTGGTTGCGATTTCTCCGACATGGCCTTCTTTCCTCACTGTTCCTTTCTGAACCGGCCTAATACCACCTGGTACTTCTAGGGGCAGAAGGTATTCTAGACTAGGGCTGATCCAATCAGGCTTTTGGTCACTTCCTGCCACTGGGTGGGCCACCGAGACACTTGGACCTAGCCAACTCTCATTCTGTCACTCACACCTCCACTTACCTGAGGAGTGGCCCTTTCCTGAGGGCCCTCACCCATCACACCAGAATACCCTTTTGCCCCCTTTTCATGTAGAAATGTCCAATGGACTTCCATCTACCTCACCTTTTTGGGGGGAGGGGCCGGGGAATATAAGGTTGGATCTCGGAATGCGTTTGCTCCAATGAGTCATCTCGTGGCACCTATCTTTAGTTTCCCATTGCTGCCTCTACTGGGATCCTCTCAAATGGATCATTCCAACAGAACCACACCCTTCGTCTGTGGAACAACCCACTGGAAAGGCTATGCAGAGTCCCCACTGCAATTCCACCAAATCCCCCCCCACACACACACCCCACCCCCCACCTTCTGTGATCTGTTCCAGGAGGGCATGGCTCTTTGGGGTGGAAAAATTGAATTCTGTTTTGGTCAAAGCCCCTTTTTACCTGTCCTGAAGTTCTGGACCTACTGCTGTCCTTACCCACCATCCTCCCCTGCTGGCCTCTCATAGGGACCCACCTGTTCCCCCCACTACATGGGTAACTCATATTCCCCCATCTTCCATCCAAACCTGCTCTTCAGAGTACTCAGGGATTCTCCTGTCCTTCTTGCCTTTGGACTGCCCGCCTCCCCCAAACTCCTTCATGCAAAGGCTTCCTCCATGGGACCACCGGCCCCTCAGCCTTTAAGTTCCCCACCCCCATCCAAAGAGACTATTCCACCAGGCAGTGTTACCTACCCAACCTACACCCTGCCAACCCACTGAACCACTGAAGGGGGTGTGTGTGAGCAGTTAATTCTGAATTCCATTTTTTTAGACTGTAAATGTTTTATAATTAAAGGAGCTCTGGGGTCAAGGAGTCATCTTAAGAACGTGTCTGAGAACCATGGTGTACATCTGTGAAATGGTACAGGGTTCATTCAAGTTACGGGAAGCTGGGAGGGTTCTGGTGGGAAGGGGGCAATCAGTCATCCTATGAGCCCTTTCCCAAATGGGAAAACTGAGGCCCTGGGGAAGCAAAGGAACTTGCTAAAGGCCACACAGTCATGAGAAACAGTCTAGAGGAAAGCCCCTGGCTTTCTCTAGAGTGGTGAGTTGGTTGGGGGGGGGGAAGGAGTGAGGAAGCTGCCTGGTAAGGGGGATGGGAGAGGGAGGTCTGTTGAGAGGTTCAGAGGGCAGAGAGCACCCTGGCTGCAGGAGCCTAAGGGAACTGGAACAGGTGTAGGGTGGGAAGAAGGAAAATGAGGGGCAGGTAGATCACAGGGGTGGGGGATGTTGGGGGGGGGGCGCACACCTCCATCCTCATCAGAGTAGCCCTTCAAATCACTCCAGAAATCTTAGCATTTATAAAAACTGGCAGATTTATTCTGAAGGGGCCCATTTTCAAGAATCTAAAGGTGAAGGTGGGAGAGGGGAACTTGCCTCCCCCTTTCCTTTTTCCCCCATTTAAATTTTCCCCAAGAGGGTACAAATGGCCTGGACCCCCAAACCTACCAAAATTAAAAAAAACAACTGAGGTTCCAAAAAGTTACAGCATCTTAATTCCTCATAGAAAAGGGGAAGGAGCCAGAGGGGAGGGAGGTCCCTGGATTAGGGGAGAGGCACCCCCAGCCTGGTGGAACTTCCCCCCCTTAAATAGCTGTCCCAAATGGGACAAGCCAGGGGCTATAGCATTTAAAAACTCCCCACACCCCATTTTATCAAAACCAAAGAGAAAAAAAATTTCCCCTTCCCCCCAAACCTAAATATATATATATTTTTTTTCTTAAAAAAACAAAAATTCGAAGGCATTAAGCGTTAAAGTGAATCTAGAACAAGGGAATGTGAAATTCCCTCCTTCCTTCACCCTTACCGTGGGGTTAATTGGTACATCCCCAGCAGAGGAACCAGCCCCAAGGGGATGGCAGAGAGGAAGGACCAAAGGGAGCAAAGGGTGGGGGCCTCCCCAGCCAATCAGCAGCCAGTATGGGCGTGGGCATGGTGGCAGGGAAGTCACACCCCCCTTGGAATTTTCCAAGTGGGATGGGGAGTGGGGAAGACGCATTCCTGTGTAGTTTTCAGCCAATTCCAAGTCAAGTAGAGGCAGGGAAAGCAGGGTGACAGGCGGGGTGTGTGGAAAGGAGAAACGGGATCTTCTGGGGCCCTGTGGTCAGGGGGAACCCCGCTTCCTCAGCTCCTGGACAAAGGCTGGAAGGAAACAAGGGGCAGGGATCAGGGGTAGAGCCTCTTCCCCCTTCCCTTCCAAAACAAGGCTCTTTCCAAGGAACAAGATGCCTCCAAAACAAATAAATGCTTAAAATTAAAAAGCTCACCTTCAATTATTTCCTCTTTCATTTTCTGCAATTCCTTCCTCACCTCTTCCAGAAGCTCCTGAAAATAACAGGGTGCAAACAATCAGGAAGAGTGCCTAGGCTTGCAGAACTGAACCTCCTTTCTTAATGACCGAAGGGACAGAGGAAGGAGGTTCAAACTCCTCCCACCCACACACACCATGACATCACTGACAAGGTCGCAGAGGGACTGGAGAAACCTAGGGGAGAATTCTGGATCCTTGGGGTAGGAAGAAAAGTACTGGAGAAGATCCTGTACCAGGGTTGGCAAATAAGTTCTAGACTCCTGCCAACTCCAGTTGGTGATGAACGTCTGGGGCCAGTATGCTGAAAAGGATTCTGGGTACTCATCAGGAATGTGTGCTGTGATAGATTAGTAAGTTCTGTTAAGGGCCCTGGAAATGAAGGTTGTGGTGTCTGTGCCATCCCTGATCTGATCCAATCTCTCCATTTCTTAGACTTGGAAAAGTGTGCATTTCCAAGGCCTTTTCTAGAATCAGATGGCCGGTCAGTGGCAGAGTTTGGACTCACATCTCCTTTCTTCCTGTGGCTCCTTTGTAGCTCTCAAACCTCAATTCCAGCCCCCTCCTCAAGCTACCTGTTTGATCCTCTCCAGGTCTGACTCATCAGCAGAGGTGGGTGTACAGGGGTGGGCCTCGGAAGTGATCACTGAAGACGATTTCATCCTAAGAGAGATGGTATGATTTGGGACAGAAACGAGGTTAGAGAGAGCCTGCTTCCCCTACCTCCCTTTCCAGGATTACCATTATGTTCTTCCCTACAAATTTGGCAAGTCCAACTACTTTGGATAGGTGGGGTCCCAGTATAGATAGCCCACCTTGGCAAGGTTGTGCTGTTCTTCTCCCAAGGTCTTCGCACAGGTTCTGGGTGACAGGCAACAAATCAGAAAGATTAGGGGCAAAGAATGCCCTGCCTCAATCTTTCTCCCACAGCCTCATTAGCCCCTGTTTGAAGAACCATCTCAGAGACTATCCCCAGCATTATTTGCACAGACTCTCATAAGGGAGCTTTATGTGTGAGAACAGGGCATCCTGGGACTTGTAGTTCCTGTGGCTGGACTGGGCTCTCACTCACCACTGTGGGCTGGGACTCTGGCCTCTGGCTCCTCCTGCTGGTGGGAAATAAAACTGTCATGAGCCAGCCCGTGCCACACCTCTGCTCATTTTCTTCTTCCAGGTTCAACCTAGCCCATTCCTGTCACACCACCTCCTTAATATGTCTACTCGAAAGGTAAAGCCATATAGCAGGAAGAGCCCCTCACTCACATTGGCAGATTCATCCTTGGGGGGTTTCTCCCCAACTAGTGTAGCTTTCCTTCTGCAAGAGGGAAAGGCAAAAACAGATGACTTCAGCCCACCCCCCAGTCACTCAACAATTCCTTCCCAGAGCTCTAGAAAGGTGGATTCTGGGGTGCAGAGTTCTGGAATTCATGAAGGCTAAGAAAATTTCAGTTTTAGAAGGCAAAGAGAATACTGTTTCCTCTGTGCCCCCAGACAAGTGGAGTGGGGAGTTTATGCTTCTCACATTTGGGAATCACAAAATTTTAAGGGCGTTAGGTTCTATTTTAGATGCTGGGATTCCAGGAACCCGAGTTTCCAGATTCTGAGGCAGTAATTTCTAAAGTCCTAAAATCCTGGATTTTAAAACATTCTAGAGCAGCGGTTCTCAACCTGTGGGTCGCGACCGCTTTGGGGGTCGAACGACCCTTTCACAGGGGTCCGCCTAAGACCATCGGAAAACAAAAAGATATTTACATTACGATTCATAACAGTAGCAAATTTACAGTTATAGAGTAGCAACGAAAATAATTTTATGGTTGGGGGTCACCACAACATGAGGAACTGTATTAAGGGGTCGCAGCATCAGGAAGGTTGAGAACCGCTGTTCTAGAGGCTACCAGCTAGGTGCAAACCTCAGCCACCTGAGGAGAATGCAGTCTGCAGTATTATATCCCAAAGCTGGCTATCAAAGGGGAAAATTTCACCCCTAGAAACAAAAACGGGAATCTGAGCCCTCCCCCAGCCTGTCCTACTGAGCAGGAATCTCCTGGTGATAACTGTAGGTCTGAGGGGTTTGTTTCCAGAGCTTTCCACAGGCATTGAGGGCTCCAGGTTCAGGCTCACCTCCGGGCCAGCATGGCATTCATCTCTTCCATGAGCCCTCCACCTGTGCTTCGAGTGCTCTCAGCTTTGGGGGCTGAGGGTCCCCCTGAGGCCTCCTCCTGCTGGAGAAATTACAAAGAGGAGGGGCCTTTATGGGCAGCCCTCCTGGCCTCCCAGCCACTCCCTATGATGCCCCAGGCAACTCTGGCCTCATTTCCCATGATTCCATCAGGGCCCCAGTCACCCCACAGCCTACCATGCCTGGCCCCCTCACCTTGCTGACTTTCCTGAGTTTGGCTCCGGCAATAGCTGCGGCCAGGCCAGGGGCCCCGGTCCCTCCACCACTGGATCCTGTTGTAGGGAGAGGGGGCGGAGGGGGAGGGCCTCCCCCTGCTCCTTGCCCCATAGCTGAGGCCCCTGATGGGGGCAGACCAGGGGGTGGGGGGGGACCCGGAGGAGGGGGAGGTCCTGGAGGTGGGGGTGGCCCCCCAGCTGGAGGAGCAGGTGGGCCTCCTGAAACAAACACAAACAAGGAGGGGTGCTGAGAGAGAAAACTCATTCTTTGTTGTCTAACTGGCCCACCCCTTCCTCTGGGGAGATGCCCCCCGATTCCCGAGGCCAGCTGAACAATCACCTGCATTGGAGACCCGGCGCTCACGCTCCATGTGCTCTGGTTGCCTGAGGAGGGATGAGGGAGCTACCATCACTCCAGGCCCCAAGGATGGCCAGCAACCTCTGGCCTCTCTCTGAGGTCTCCAGTGATGCTGGCTCCTAACCCCCACCCATGCCTTCCTTCCCCAGGGGCTCAGGAAAGAGTTGGCGGGGGTGGGGTGGGGGTGGATGGACGGACAGGGTAAGACCAAGATGCAAGCATTCTAGTCATCAAACTGTCAAGAATATTTGAATTACAAAACACCCAAGATCCTTTTAAACAACCAAATTTTGGACTCTGGGAATCTAGGGAACCAGGACTTGAAGGGTCAGAAGGTTCTGCAACTCTGGGTGTCAGGACCTTCGCAAACCCCAGGAGACAAGAGTTTCTGAAAGCTGTCAATTTCCAGTCCCCTGGGAGTTGGAACATTCTGGAAACTGAAAAGTTGGAGTTTTGAACTCTAGGAGTCAGAGGTTCTGGAACATCCTAGAACTCTGGCAGTGGTAAGGTTCCCCATCCAGGGACTGGCCCCACCTTTTCTGCTGCTCCATCTCCTCTGGGGAGGGACCATTCTGGACAGACCAGTTAGGAGGTGCTGCTGGTGACTGCGATGGCGGTGGTAGTGGTGGTGCCGGAGGCCCACCTCCTGGAAGGTGAATAGAAAAGGGTGATGAATCAACCCTAGAACTCTGCCCCAGCCCTTGTCACTTTCCCCCAGCTCTCCCAGGCCTCTGAGGAATCCTGCCCAGAGGCGCTCACTTCCTCCCTCTGGGACCCTGACACTCCGGGCTGGGGTGTGGGCACCTTGGCAAATTTCTGGGATGAGCATCAGCACCAGCTTCCCTTGACTGAGCTGAGAAGAGGTGGGTGCTGTGGTGATGCCCAGGTGACAGGTGGGACAGCAAAGGCCCAGAGGGGGCAGTCACTTGCCCCAAGTCCTACAGACCGGGATTTGCAGGAACAACACTTAAATTCAGGCTGACTCCAGCAGCCACTCTTAACCACTAGCCCAGCCGCTCAGATCCCCAGCCCGAGAACCCCAGAAAGGTTGAGAGTCTCTTCCTCACCAAACCCCAGGTCTCTGGCTCCCATGGACCTGAACTGCCCACCATATTTTCCTCTTTGCCCCCAGGCAAGTAATCCTTTCCCCACTGGCACTGAGGTTGCTCCAGGAGGCAAACACCTCTGTCATTTGGTGATTTGAAGTCCCACAGCAGCAAGCCCAGATCCTGGATACACAGTGGTCACCTAAAGCCTCACTGTCCATGGAACCGGCATCACCAGGGAGCTTGTTAGAAATGCAGAGACTCAAGCCGCACCCCAGCCCAATCGGACCAGAACCTGCATTTTACCCAGATGCCCAGATGATTTGTAGGCACGTGCAAGTTAAGAACTACCAACTGGATGTTTTTTTTCTTAATATTGATGCCTGAAAATTAACTGATGATGACATAAGCCAGGACAATGGTTAACCTGGCAAAAGGGCACAGAAGGAGCCTCCTGGGGGCTGGAAATACCTACATCTTGATCTGGGAGGTGGTCACACGGGAGTGGACGTGTGTGTGAAAATTCACAGAACGTACTGCACCCTTAGAATAAGGTGCACAAGGAGTACACGGGAATCCACACGAAACTGTCAGAATAATTCACCACGGTAGCAATGAAATAGCCTCATTTTCAGATGAGTAAATTGAGGCCCAAAGTGGTCAAGTGGCTGCCCCTGGTCACGTGACAGCGGGCTCAGTAGTCCCCTCTGCCCACTGTTTCTAACCTTCCAATGCCTCTAGGGCACTGGCCATGCCAGAGGCAAACTGTGCGGCGTCCTCCTTGCTGCCAAAGTTGAGGCCCCAGACCTGGCGGGCGTCACGCCATTGGTGGAAGTTGGGGGTGGCCTGGTTATACTTGAGACCCCGGATGATGGCACAGTTGATGACCACCTGGCAGGAGGGGAAAGGTGGGTGAGGGGTGGTGGGCACAGGGGTGGGCGGCACAGCCCACAGAGGGGGAGGCAGAGGAAGGCCTCACCTGCTGGTCTGGCTGCATTTTCCGGCCGACCACCCGGAAGGATTTGGCTGTGGGATTGTGATAGATCTGGACTCGGCTGAAGGCCTGGGGGCCTGTGCCAGCAGGCAGCCACCGCTTGTTGCTGTCATCGTAAAGCATCACAGTGGCCCGGCTGGAGCAGATAACTGTCTCGCTGACAGGAAGGAGACAGAAAGAGAGGGAAGCCGGTTAGTCCAGGGGAGCACGGCACCCTCCTTCCAGGGGCTGGTCACCTTCTCCGTCTGGGTCCCCCTGGAAGATTCACAGACAATGTCAGAGGAAAAGAGAGACACACAAAGCTAAGGGAGACAGACCCTTGAGGAGGCCGACAGACAGACTGGGAAGGAAACACAGACAGGTGGGCCAGAGCAAAACAGACAGATAGGGAGACAGACAAACTGGGGATGTGAGAAAGATGAGGCAAGAGACACATAGGGAGAAAGAGGCAGGGAGAGGAAGTCGGACAGGCAGGCTGGAACGGTACAAACATACAGACTGATATGGACAGAGAGGTGAGAGAGGAGTCAGACTGACAAAGGGGAGACAGACAGACAGACAAGGGAATGGTGAGGGGAAACAGATGGAAAGGCAGGGCGGTGGAGAAAGAGACAAGCCGATAAAGACGGAGAGATGGACGGCGTCAGGAGAGAGATGCACGTAAGAGCAGAGTGAAGAGCTAGAGGGAAGTGGGGACAGAGCAGGAACTCTGGGTGGCGCTGGGATCCAGCCCCTGCCCAGAGCCTCAGTTTCCTTATCTCCGCCAGGGTGCTTGGACCACTCCCCGTCCCCACTCCCCACTCTGGTCAGGGTAGGAAGCTAAGGCTCAGGGAGAAGGGTCAGGCTTGTAGCAAGTTGGGGACCCATGCTACACCCTAGTTTCTTCCACTTCCTGCTGCTACCCCATCTCCTCCATCTGCCACCCCCACCCCCACCCCAGCCTGAGGCACCACTGGCCATCCGCAGACACTCCCTGCTCTCAGGCCCATGTTTTGGACAGTGACCAGATAGCCTCAGCTCCACCTTCCAGTGCAAGAGACAGTCCAGTCCCCAGACAGTGACAACCCAGGGCTAGGCCCAAGATGCCCAGGAGCACATGCCCTGGCCTGGGTGTCACAGAGGACTTCCTGAAGCAAGTGACATCTGACTCAGCCTTGGGGGGAGGGGTCAAGAAACTGGTTCAGAGTTTAGGGACCTGGGTTCAAACCCCCACTGAGCGACCTACTCCATGTGACTCAAGCAAGTGACCCTCCCACTCGAGAACTGCAAACTGGGGAGATGGCAGTCCCACCTTCCAGGGCAGTGGAAGCAGTGAGTGAATCTGGGCACATAAAGTGCTTGGCATAGTGCCTGGCATGTACTGAGCACTTGGTAACTGTCAGCATCCTTCACCAGCACCTTGAACATCGGCCTAGAACCACCCCCAGCAGTCCTTCTGGGGAGGTTCAATCTCCCCTCCCCCAATGAGGAAACTCAGGCTCCCAGACAGGAAGTGACTTGCCCAAGGTCGCACACAGACAAGGGGGAAGTGCTAGTCCCCGCCCCACACCACCCCCACCAAACTTTTTCCTGAAAAGAGGAAGTTGGTGGTCAGAGGTTTCCGGGGAGAGAAATTATACCCTGTAATGGCTCTGTTTCTACCAGTGCTGGGGGCGGGGGCGTGACGCTGATGCTGTGAAAGACAGGACAGGGAAAGCCCCTCAACAGACCTAGCTCCGGGTTCCCAGGCTAGGAGGCTGAGCCCCTCACATACCCAAGTTTACATAATTGTGGCACCTTCTTCTTACCAGGCACTTCCACTGGTCAGGAGCCCTAAGCCTTCTCCTCTGTCACTTGATTCTCACGATAGTCCTTCAAGGTGGGCACTATTTCATCCTCATTTTGCAAATGAGGACTGTACATGGAGGCCCAGAGAGGCTGAGTGACTTGCCCCCTCCCCAGCGTCACAGAGCTAGTAAGTAGCAGAGCGAGGATTTGAACGCAGGCCACCTGGCTTCCAAGCCCATAGTCTTAACCACCAGGGACTGCGTGGGCCCTACCAACACCAGGTGCTGTTTCCAGACAAGTTCAGCCTCAGGGGCCATTTCTGGCTCCCACAGCCCCTGGCAGGGCACGGTTAAGACCTCGCCCACACCTGCCACCCACACCCAAGGCAGACTCTGGCCAGGTGCCCGGGCTGTCTTTGCTACCCCACCCTGGCTGCACTTTGCTCTCCCAAGCAGAAAGCTCTGGCCCTGCTGAGGCCCTGGCCTGGCCTGAGGGTGTCTGCCGAGTGACCCCAGGCTGGTCCTACCCCTCTCCAGGCCGTAGTGTCCCCATGACAGCAAAAGGATCCTGTTAAAACACCAGTTGAGATTGAGTCCCTCCTCTTCTCGGAAGCTCCCCTGGCTGGTAGAGACCTGTGGCTTTCTGATCTATGTGATCTCTGATCTCATCCCTTCCCTCCCCCCAGCTTGCTGTTCCAGCCCCTCCGGCCTCCACGGTGCTCCTTCCACATGCCAGGCACATTCCTGCCCCTGGCCTATGCACTTGTCCTTCCTCAACCTGGATCCTCACCTCCCTCAGGGTAGTCCGGGGAAGAGGTGCTGTCTAAGCGGAGACCTATCTGTAAAGTTCTTCTCCCTCTCATTGAATGTCCCACATGTCATAGCAGCTATCCCTGCCTGACAGATCCCTGTCACCCCTACCAAAATGTCAGGACCATGAGGGCAGGGATTTTTGTCCTTATTGTTCACTGCTGTGTCCCCAGAACCTAGAATTCTACCCAACCCATAGTAGGAATTCAACAGTTGTTAAATCAGCCATGTTTCAAAATACGAAAACTCAGCTGATAGTAACTGGTTGGTGTGCATCCCAGACCCTGTTCTAGGTACTGAGCTCCAGTTTCCACAAAGAACCTTGCAATATCATGAGAGGTGAAGACACTTGTCCCAGGTCACACAGCAAGTAAGCAGAAGGCCTCCCATTTGAACCCAAGTCCACCCAAGTTCTTAACCTCATTTAAAGATGAGGTAACAGCTAAGCTGAAATTTGAAAAAGCCAAAGTCTAAAGAGGTATCAGAAGTTTTTTAAAAAGGTGGGGAGGATATAACTACATCCGCACACAGTAGTGATATATGCAGAGGCTGCTTCTCAGGAGACTAACCGTGGCTGCCTCCAAGGAGGGGCACTGGGGACCTGAGCAGGGAGGAAACGGACACGTCTCACTGTTTACTCTTTAGAACTGCTTGATTATTTCTTTTTTTTTTTTTTTCAGCATGGGCTGGTATTACCTATAAAAAACTCATTCATTACTTAGGTTCAAAAAACAAAACTATAAACCAGGCAAAAGCTGCAATGGAAAATCCCACAGCCAGGAAGCTGGGGAGAAAGATTCAAATCCGATTCTAGGGGTTTCCTGGGGTCTCACACACTTGATTTGACATGAGAGAGCCTTAATCCCCAGCCAGCCCAGCACCCACTCCTCCCCACAAATCCCCCAATTCTGGAAAACTCTAGCGTGTGGTGGATGAGAGAGCGTTCAAGTGACCCTCTTGCTGTGTGGCCTCACCTCTACGGTTTCCAGCCCTGGAAACCATAACTCACTGGGCTTGTTGTAAGGACTTACAGAGATAAGAAACGCCCTAAAGCTCAGGACCTGGAATTTCGCACAGGCGCCATACAAGGAAGCAGAGAGTCCAAACAGGAGGGAGAAAGCTTCTCATCATTGGAGGCAATCAAGCATAGTCACTCTGGTTTACTCAAACCTTCCAGATTAGAGGTTTGCCCTTCCCTTCACCCCTCACTCTTACCCCAATACTTACCCTATAACTTCCTTAAACCATAAAACTTGTGATCCACACTACCCCCCACGCACACACAACCTTTCCAAACTACACATCTTTGCAACAACCCTGCAGAGGAAACCAGATCTAGGGTCTGTGGGGCTTGTTTGGCTCACTCTAGTTCCTCCTCCCTGACCAGACACTTTCCCAAAAGTGAACAGGAGGTAAAGGTTCCCACCTGGGTTTCTGTGTATCTCCATTATCTTAACTGTTTGTACAGTGAAAGCATGTATTTTTTTTTTTAAGCTCATTAAAGGTTTTCTTTTTCTTTAATAGTATAATAGTCTGGAGACAGTCCTAGGTTCAAATTCAGCCTTGCCCACTTCCAAATTCTTTGGCTTTAATAGGCAATTTGCTTAATTTGTCTGTACCTTGGTTTTTCCATCTGTAAACTGGCAGGTGGTGGGGCGCTGTCATAATAGTATAATCTCTTAGAATTGCTGTGAGGATTAAACTGAACCAGGCACCTACTACAGCGCCTGGCATAAAGTGGATGCTTGATCAAATTGTTTTTTATTATTTTTTAAATAAAAATAATAATTACTATTACTGGAAGAAGAAAGAAATGGACCCAAATTCTTCAGAATCCCTTCTGCCCTGAGATTCAGACCTCTGCTCAGCTTCCTCGCCTTCCCACAATCCCAGCTCAGAGTCCCGGACACAGCAGACACTCAACAAATATTTGTCAAACTGGGAGAAAAAGAACTATTATCTTGTAATTTTCCATCTTAACATCCTCTCTTCCAGCTGCCCCCAAGACTGTCCCTCAGCTACACCAGCCAGAAATCGGAGGATCCCAGTCCCCTCCCCTCCCTCAACATTGCCTAGGAATTTGAGGGATCTTGTGCCAATCCTTTCTCTTTGAGCCTCAGTTTCCCCAGCTGGATACAGGGGCTTGGGTCAATTTGAAACCTAGCTGTCTTTGGAGAAGGGGCACAGCCCAGGAAGTCGGGTGTGGCCACTGGCAGGGAAGACCCCTCAGGAGGTGGGAGTAACCCTCTGGTGGGACAGGGAACGGCGCAACTTCTGCCCACCCCCCAGGAAGTGGGAGGTTTGGCCATGGCCATTAGTAGGGGGCCTGTGAGAAGGCCGGGGCCTCCGGGACTGGGCTTAGGGGGGGCGGGAGGCCGGCCCAGACACTGCTCCTGCCCTTTTACGGTCTCAGTGAGTGAGGCAGCACTAACTCGGACATCCGCCATCCGCCTTCCATGGTCCCTGGGACCGGAAACGCGGGGGGGGGGCCTGAGGGGCGGGGCTGGGGGCTGGGGGAGAAGAGTCTTCCCCCCCCCTCCTCCGGGAAGAGGGTGAAGAGAGCCTGACTCCTGAAAACTGCCCCCTCTCCAGACGGATCTTGAAGGGAACGTTGCTATAATGGGAGAAAGGGTAGACAGGAAGTCTTGAGGGTGTCTCTGGGTGCCCTCTTGCTCCAAATTTTCCAACCATTCCTTCACATCAGAAGAAACAAACGCGGTAGTGGGGATTTTCTTAATTGTCATAAAAAGGAATGCCACCCTAATGTCAGAGGGCAGAGGTATGGGGAACGTGGAGGAAGTGAGAGGATGTAGGCACCAGGGGGTTAATCCCCAGCCGTCCCCAGAGGCCTCCTCCTCAAGCTGGGGGCTTTGGGGCAGGAAGTCCCTGAGAGAGTGAAGGAAGGGAGATAGTATTGTCAGGCTCAGGCCCCAAGGGAGAGATTACGGGGGGGTTAAGGGGAGGGGAGATTGGGGGGAGATCCACTCGGGTTTCCCAGCCTGCACTGGCCCCGCCCTCAGGTGTGCACAGGAGTTTTGAGGGAGGCCTGGGTAAGACAAAATCCCTGGGTACCTTGGGTCCCCCCACTGCCAGGATTAAATTCTTGGGAAGATAGCTGAAACTATCTGGAAGCCTCGGTCCTGGGAAGAGAGGGCTATGACCTTGAAGCTTTCCAGTGCCCCCTCCTCCAACCCCACAGCTCCGATGGCTGGAGAGCGAGGGATAGCGAGGGAAGGGGGAGGCGCCGTGGTGGGGAAAGCAGCCTGCCCACAGCGCTCCAAGCCCGCCCCCACCCCACACCAGCTGTCTCGACAGGTGAGTCAGTAAGACAAAGGCCCCCCTTTCCACAGCTGCCGCACCCCCTCCCTCCCAGGGCCGCGCAGGTGGGATAGAGGGGCCGCCCTTCTGGCCCAGGGCCGGGGAGCCGCCCTCCACATGGAGCACACGCTCGGTCCTAGGCACGGCCTGTTTTAAGCAGATTGGGAGTGCGGAGCGGCGGGGGAGGGGCGTCCCAACCAGACCCTGAAGGCTGCGTCTGGGTCCATCCGCAACAACCTCTTCCATAGGATGAGAGCCCCTCCAAATTTAGGGGGTTAAGTACCCTAGAAGTTAAGGAGCGAGGTCCCACATGAGAAGACTTTCCAGCGTCACGTAAAGGGGAACCCCGCAAACCAAGGTCTACATCTCAATCTCTCAGGTGCTAGGGACCCTCAGACTGGCACCCCACAATCCCCCTCTGAGCACGAGTTGAGATTTGGGGGGAGTCTGAGCCCTGACTAAATCCTGACGTCCCTACGGGGAGTGTCTGCCAACTTGCAGGTTTTCTGAAGAAGTCTGTAAGAAATTCGGGAGTCCTTCGAGCGCCCCAAATCTGAGGGCTCCCAGGAGAGCTTCACCGGCACCACCCCGAGCCTTGGGAGTCATGGGAAAATGGTCAGTATCTGCTCATCCAAGCAGGTTCAGCATAAAATCCGAGGCTCCAAGAGCCCGGTCCCCAAATTCCAGCCCGGAGCAAGCTGGGGGGAGGGGGACAAAGGCGGGGCGGGGAGCCTGCCCCGGGTGGGGAAGGGTCTGGAGGCAGTTGGAGGCTCACCTCATGGCTGCTCGGCGGGCGGGCGGCGCACCCACAGGGTGGGTGCTCCTGGGGCGCCCCTGGCTCGAGGTTCAGGGGTTTGGGGTTGGCTCCAGGTTCTGCTCAGTCTCCCCTAGGGTCCCGCCCCATAGAGTCCGGCTTCCTGAGGGAACGTGGACGCGGCCCGGGCGGGTCTTCGGGCGCCTCCTCCCTGTGGGGGTTTGATCGGGGGTCCCTGCGGCAGAAATGGGGTGCGGCGTCCCCTCCCCGGCGCGCCCCTCGGCCGGCGGCGGCTACAATGTTACTCTTACTACTGTACTTCTCTTCGCTACATTTCGTTCCAAAATTCCACTCCCCGCACCCACAATGCCCTGCGCCTTAAAGGGGCCGCGGACAACTCAAGGCGGTGGCGGGGTGGAGGGCGCTTAAAAGGGCAACACGGAACCCTAGACCCGCTATTTCCCTCTCCCCCATAGTTATTGCAGGGATGCACGCTGGGGTCACCCCAAAATTAGGGAGGAAGCTTGTTGGACGGGAAGGGATCCTTCCTTGATCCCTAGTTGTCTACCGCAATGGAGTTCTTAGGGGGATCTCAATGGGGGCAGAGTTTCTTCTCACCTTCCCTATCGACTTCTCCATTTCTTTACATTCAGCTCAATTTGGGAGGGGGGGGGCTAGGAGGACCCTCTGGTTTAGCATAGGTTCCTTCAAATTTTCTCCCTGTATCCTCTCTTCGGACCCTCCAATGTCTCTCTTGGCCAATCTATGAAGGGTTACTAAGAGCGAACCCTCTCCCCCACCACAGGAGGGGGATGGGTGGGGAGGGCCCCACCCCTCTCACTGCCCCCCGCCCGGCCGGGGAAGGTGAGGAGGAAGTGGGCCGAGGGGGCGCGGCCGGCCGCTGACTCACAGCCGCAGGGGGGTGGGGGTGGGAATCCAGGATAAAACCCCAGGCCCCTTCCCCACGCACGCCCCGCTGTGACTCAGTTTCGTCCGCGGAGGATGGCGGGATGATCCCGCAATTGGAGGGCACCGAAGAAGGGCTACCCTTCCCCCATACGCCGGCTTCAGGCTGAGCCCGCACACCCTCCTAGGCTTCCGCAGCGGTTCCCGCAGGCTCCGCCCCCGCGTGACGTCACTTATGTGATCCCGCCTCTCCCGTAGAACGCCACCTGTCCTGGGTAAGGTGCCCTAGCCAGGGGCATGAGCCTGGGAAATGATCAGTTTGACGTTTCCAAATGCTTAAACTGAGGCCTGCAGGCAGGGAATATATCTGGGCTACAAGTCCTCTTGCCTGAACCCCCAGAACTCCAGTGGTATTTGGATGCAAGGTATGAGTGTAAAACCAACAATTTCTTGGGACCAAGTTGACCAGGTGAGGGAGTCAACCTTCCCAGCCTCTGTCGAAGAAGAATCCTCTGCCTGGATGTTGTCCTGACCTCATCTCATCCTTCTAGGACATGTTCTAACATTAATTATTCTCTGCAGAAGTGAGTAATTCTCTCCTACTCCACCCCACCCTGGGAGACCTTGAACCCTGATCCACCTGGGTTATAATTGTGTGTCTTCCCAGGCTGTGAATTCTTTGGGGGCACAGGTAGACTTGATCGATTTCTGTGTTTCACTAACCCAGCCAGGCCCAGAACAGCTCAATACACATTTATCCAATTGAATGAGAACCCCCGTTTCTGTGTGACCTTGGGCAAGTCCTTTCTGCTCTCTGGGTCTCAGCTTTCCCATCTGTGAAGTGGGAGGTGTGATGCCTCTGTGTGCCACCTGCACTACAGTCAGCAAACTTTTTCTACAAAGGTCCAAATAGGAAATATCTTAGGCATAGACATAGGGTGTCTTTCCCATATTCTCTTTTACAACTCCTAAAAAATGTAAAAACCATTCTTAGCTCAAGTGCTGTGCAAAACAGCAAGACCCCTGCATTAGAGAAATCCTTGCATATGTACACAAGGAATTTGATCAAGGATCTTTATGTCAGCAATGATGTGAGGGCAAGAAATTGGAAATAGCCTGTCCATCAAGAGGAGGATGGATAGCAAAACCATTATATATCCCTTGTCTAAAGCACTGGGCTGCAGCTAAAAAGAATGAGATGTGTAAATGGTATGAAAGAAGTCCCCAACATATTATTGAGTGAAAAAAAAATACCAGGGGCCGGCCGAGTGGCGCGATGGTTAAAAACTGGCTTGGGAAGCCAGAGGGCCCTGGTTCAGATCCCACATATGAGGGCCAGTGACACTGCCCTCCACAGCTAAGATGCTGAACAACAGCTCAACCTGGA